GAAAAAAGTTAATTTTTCAAAATTACCCTTTTGATAGTACATTTTTTGGGAATATCAATGTCATAATTGTACTTTTTATATTGTTTATTAATTTAAAAGAAGGGCAAAATAGGAAATTTATATTATTTTTGTACTTGATTTTTGAAGAGGGACTAATATTTTGGGACAATGAAAAATAGAATAAGGGACTAATATTTTGGGACGGAGAGAGTATACAAATTTCCTAACACATACAAACTATAATACATAGAAGATAAAATTCAGAGGCCTTTTGAAACGAATGACCAATTTGCTGGGTTTACAAATATGACAATCTAAAAGGGGTTCCAAAAAAAGAGTATTTCACAAGTAACAATACAAAAGAATCAAACAAAAAAGTGAATCAAAGAATACACTCATGAGCAAGCAATCTAACTAATATTTTGGAACAATAAAAAATAGAATAAGAAACTAATATTGTGGGACGGAGGGAGTATACAAATTTACTAACACATACAGACTATAAAACATAGAGGATAAAATTCAGAGGCCTTTTGAAACGAATGACCAATTTGCTGGGTTTACAAATATGACAATCTAAAAGGGGTTCCAAAAAAAGAGTATTTCACAAGTAACAATACAAAAGAATCAAACAAAAAGTGAATCAAAGAATACACTCATGAGCAAGCAATCTAAGAAATAAATTGTTTGTGAAAACATGGCAATTTGTTAAGCAATACAAAACACGGTATTAAAACACTTTGGATCACTTATAAATCACTAAAACTAAGAACATATCACATGCATAAAAAAAAAACAAAAAGGTTGCAAATTTAATTCAGCCTTGAATACTCGAGATGTAAGCTTTAAAAAATCCTTGTTTAATTCTTAAGCCTCAAGATACATTACAACTACCTTGCCTTGAAAGAACTAAGAAAGCCTTCAAAACTCTGTTCGCAATGATCTATGCATACATCAATATATTGAAGAATCCATAAAATGCGCAGCTATAAAACACCTAGTTTTCAGATGATGCAGCTACACTGTTTTATAAAGACTAACATGCTCTATTTTGTATATCAATCAGCACAAGTATTGCTAACAGTGTAGTCATCCAGGAAATGAATATGAAAAATGAAATAGACATTTTTGCTTTATTCATGAAGAATCCATAAAATGCGCAGCTAAATTCACAAATTGAAGATTTTCATTTTGGGAAGCATAAAGGACTCCTAAGGTCCTATTTCTGCACACAAAAAAAAAAATTAAAAAAATTCTTGTTTCAACATGCAAGCTTATAAGGAATCTATAAAATGTGTAGCTAATTAACAGCCAAAGTTAGACATTTGCCTAAGATGTTGAGAGTAAAACCCTAAATCAACAGATCTGGGTTTTAGAAAAGGGGAAAATAGAGGAATAGTCTAAATCAACACGAAATTAAACCCTAAATCAACAATTAGAAAAGGAGAAAACAGAGGTGGGCGAGAGAGCGAGAGAGATAAACAGAGAAAGACTGTGAGCGAGAGAGGTCGAGCGAGAGAGAGAGAGACACACATAGACAGACCGAGAGCTAGAGAATGAGCCGAAGAGAGTGAGAGAGAGAACTTGTGATCTGCGTCTGTGGTGGTGGTGATTTCCGGCGATGGCAGTGGCCGTGCTGACATCTTCCATACAGTGGGTTGCGGTGAAGTGATTTCATGTGAGGTTTGGTGGTAAAACAGTCTGGCTATGAGAGAGTTCGCATATCGTCTGGTGGTGAGACAGTCTGGGTGTGAGAGTTCGAATATCGTTTTGTCTAACAGAGAAAGCGCGGGCAGCAATAAATTGTTTCCCTACCTAAACTTTTAACATTTTTAGCGACTAAATCAATGTTTTGTCGGCAAATTAAATATATATGCCGACTAATCTATTTTGTAGCCGAAGATAAATTAATAGCGACTAACTTTTTAGTCCCCCAAAGTATTTTTGTCAACTGAAAATAATTTTGGTTTGAAAAAGATTATATGTCACGACTAATGTTTTTTTTAGTCACCAAAACTTAAGCAATGCCGGCTGCCGACTAATTTTTTTGGTCGCCAAAGAGTAACCATAAGAATATGCTTATTATTTGGCAACTAAAATTTATTTTGTCGGCAAAAAATAATATATGACGACAAAAGAAAAATTTAGTAGCCTAAAATATAGACTTATGGCGACTAAACAATTTTCAGTCGCCAAAAGTGAAGTTTTTGCCGACTAAAACTAAATTTAGTCACCAATAATTAACATTTCTTGACTAAAAAATTTTAGTGGCTGTATCCTAAACCAATGCAGACTAATAATTTCTTAGTCGCCAAAAGTGATATTTTTGGTGACTAAAATACTTTTAATCGCTAAATTTGATCGCCAAAAGCGTAAATTCTTGTAGTGAAAATTGTAATAAAAAAAAAACAAAAAAACAAAAAGAGAGAGAGAAATGAGAGGAGTAAGGAATTAAATCTACAGCGTAAATAGAAGTTCCCGAATTATTTACGGTAAATTACACATTTAACCTTCAAGTATAGACTATTTGTCACTTTGGTTCTTACAATAAAATATTTTTTCACTTTAATCTCTAAACTATTGGCCGTTCCAACTTTGGTCCAATTACCAACCCCAGTCACAATTAAGGGACAATTTTGGAAAATAAAAAATTAAGTTCACTTTGATTTTTTTTAAAATGTTTTTTTTTAAAATAATTTTTTAGCCCCCGAGTTCAAGCCAACTTAATTTCAAAATTATTTCTGTCTAGTTATGTAGTTTTCAAAATTAGATTTTGAGTTTTCAATTCGTATATTTTTAAAAGTATTTTAGTCAAATCATTTTATTTTTTAGATGTTTCTAATTTAGATGTACTAAAAAAAGTAAAATTTTGTGAAGAATTTTTTTTTAAAAATCAATAAATACAAAAAAATTAAAAATGTACTGAATTTTTATAATTTTTTTTTCCATATATATATATATTTGTAGTAGTAGTAGGGCCATAAGCACATCTTAACCATTAGTAAAAATTTAGTTTAGGATCAATCAACAAGGAAATATTGATAGACAATACTTAATTAATTGTTTACCTAACACAAAAGATCAAGCAATGTGATAAGTTCTATGCCTTGAAAGGTTAAGGACTTTTTTAAAGGAAAAATAAACAAAGAAGAATATAAGTAAAAGGAACTGAATTGGTATTAATCAAAGATAATTATCACATGCCATAAGTTATATGAACTTAAAAAGACCAATCAATAGTCCTTAAATGCTAAGTGACTACTCCAGGATATCACACGCTTTGTGAATTGGGTTGAACGTTCTTTATTCTTCTGAGATCTTCAACTTTTATACTTGATTGGCCACCTCCTACTGCAGCCACACGTGTCTCCATGATCTTCCTTGATCTCAACCAACATTTATCCATATACTTTCTTTATCAAAAAGGATCCGAACTCCCATTCCCCCCAGATTGATTGGTCAGAATTTTTTTTTTTTTTTTTTTTTTTCTCCTCCAATCAACAACCCTATTTGTGTGTGGGGTGGTGGGGGTTGGTGATTGAGGGGATCTCAATCACATCTCTTTCTTTATATGAACCGTTTTGCGAATTTTGTACTTTGACTTGGTCTTGTTAGCTTAATTCTAACCCCTAACTCTCAACTGGTTAGCAACAATTAACTCCCCTAACCTTTTTGGCTTTTATTTCATTCTTTAAGACCATGTCACCATGCCATTTCAGCAATGGGAAGTGGTTGAGACCCCTTCCAATCACTACCCCCACACACACGTGACGGGTGGTGATTGAAAAAAAAAAAAAAAATCAGAGAGAGAGGGGGTCAAGGGGTGCCCCTTGTGGGGATCCAAGTCATTTTCCTTCAGCAATATACATGCCAGGCCACATCAGCGTGTCTATCAACATGTAATTTTCAACTTTTAGTGCCAACAACTCATGCATGCAAACAAATTGAGGTGAACTGAGTGATAAATTGTTCAAACTTAATTTGAATGCTTAAAAACTTTCAAAATAAGTTTAAATTTGACTTGTTTACCTCTCGAACCAATCTCAAATGAGTTTTAATCAATTTAAACTTGAATAGTCTATGTTTATTTTATTTTGTAATATATATAATCGAGCCAAGTCAAATAATAGATTATTCAAGTTTAATTCAAAAACTTAACAAGTTATAAAACATGTTTAAACTTGATTTATTTACATAATAAATCAATCTCAAATGAGTATTTAATAAGCTAAACATGAATCTTGAGTAATTTAATTTGTTTTGCCGCTAACCTATGATTTTTATAAGTAATAAAATTAGCAGCCCCACTCCACTGCTAACAGATTTTTCTTTTTTGTATTTGTATAATTTTTAATGTACTTCTTCCATAGTTTTATTTTATTTTTAAATTTATTTAAAAGGTATAATATTTATGAAAAAATCTTTACAAATATTTTTGGATTTTTTTTATTTTTAGTGATTTTTAAAAGATTTGTTTTACATTTTTTACTTTTATTCAGTCAGTGTGTCTAAAGAACACCGTCCCCCTCCTTCCCCCCCCCCCCCAAAAAAAAATACATAATAATAATATAATAATAATAACCTTAGTTAGAAAACCAAACAAAATTAATTCTCTGCAATCTCATTTGATTGAGACATTAAAATTGAGTTCCTTCCACTGGTTAATAATTTCAACAAATAGAGCAAAATCCATGAAAATAAGCTATAACAAACTCTGCAATGCATTATGGACATGTTTGATTAGGTAGATTAGAGCATGGGATTGAAATTATTAATCCGTGAACCCAATTATCCTATGTTTGTTTTAACATTTTGGTTTAGGATTATTAATCCAATAGATAATTAATCCAATAAATTTGTAAGATTATTAGTAATAGGGTAGAAGTGGAATTATTAATCCAATAGATATTAATTCAATTGGATAATAAATACCACACTAATTTAATAAAATTATTAATACTTCACTATTAATCTTGTGAATCAAACATACGACAAAGATAAAAAAAACTTGATGCTCTTCAAAAGATATCAAACAGCCTAGCTAACCAATCTAATTAACAACAAGAGTTCACAGAGACCATTTCAAAATCTATTTTCATCCTTTCTTGGACCATTTAATTAGTTCAAAAAGGATATATGGTCAAGACTATCTTGCGCTGAAAACAGGTTCTGCATCCGCAGTTGGCTGTGTTCTTCGTGTGTATTTGAGTAGTAAACCCTCAGAAGATAAACCCGGTACACTTAGATCCCTATAAATCAAGGGCAACAAAGAAAAACTTAAACCACTTTAAATTAGACTAAAAAACAGTTAAACATAAAAACTTATAGATTAGGGCCTGTTTGGTACAATTTTTATCAAGTTAAAAATTTGATAATCAGAAAGCAGAACTTAAAAACACCCCTTTAAGCTTTCCATATAATCAGTTTTTTTAAGTTTAATTTTAAATAAGTTGTAAGTAGAAGTTGCGCTAAACATATGTGACTCCTAAAATAAATAAATAAAAGCTATAACCAACTCTATAAGCTGCACCAAACAAGTAGTAAGAGAAATTATTCGACCTGATGTAAGGCTGCAGATCCTTCGACTCCCATTTTGGCCGCTCTCGAAAGAGCATTGAGAACCGCTCAGCCGGGGTGTAGGGCAGAGACGAAACACTGAAGGCATAGACCCAGGTCTCAATTCCGAGCTTCTCTGTCAGAACTTCCCCTTCCAACATGTCAAAACTTGCCTGCATTCCCTCCGGAATCTTCCTCATCCAGTCCCCCATGAAATTATCTAACCTCATCTTGCCTCCTCTCAAGATCCCTCTAGCAAAATGCACACAAACCCGCTTCTCATCCAACCTCCAAACACCCTCCTCCACTTTAGAACCAAAAATTCGCAAACAATGGTGTGCTATTTTATGAGAAAACCCATCTGATTGAAGCACACCAATGACTTCACTTTCATTAAGACCGTTCAACGACCAATCATTCAATACTGAATTGTGCAAAAGCATGTTTAGAATCCCATCCATATAGTTCTCATCCACAATTCTCCAATGTTCGTCAATTTCAACTGCCGAGAGAGCTTGTAGTCCAGTTATCAGTTCATCATCGCTAGCTTGTACCTTTTCAATAAGATCATCCCATCTATACAAACTTCTATTATTGTTTTCCATTAACACCTCATCAAATCTGTACGGATTCTCAGAGAGAAGCATTCTAAGTCTGTCAAGTCTTGGAGCAACCTCAACAAGTTCCATGACACCAGGTGCCACTTTGATGACCGGTGCAACCACTTTCTTGTCACAATCTTTCTCATCGCAATCTTGTTTATTTCCACACAATGCTGATTGATCTGAAGGGGGTATCAGCAATACAGAGTTGGAGGTTCCAACAAACTTCACGGCATAAGTTCTTGATTGAGTACAAAGAACTGCATCTTCATCAGGCTGTCCCCTTATGGTTACCCTGGAACAGAAGAAATTGTCATAATGATAAAATCCTAACATTTAGTTGGAAATCAAGGTGATGTAATCCTAACATTTAGTTGGAAATCAATACAAATCAATACAATTAGTTAATCTCTCTTTCTTCTCTTTTTTTTTCTTTTCTTTCCTTTTTTTTCTTTCTTTTTTTTTTTTTGTAAAAATGATGTCATTTCATTCATTATGTAAACATAACTGAATCGATTAAATCACAAGGAATCGTAACAAATCTAATGAATCATAGTGAATCAAAGGAATAGTGAATCATAAGATTCTAACAACCATGGATGTAATGACACTCTAGATATTAGATTTGCTATCACTTACCTATGGTCGAGGACATCTGGGAGAAGCTTCTCATCCAGCTCAAGGAGAATCAGATCATCATGAGGACCAAAGAGAGAATGATATGCAATGGAGACTGATGAAGTAGGTTGGAGGCTTAATACTGCTTCTGCTCCTCCGCAAACTGAATCTGGTTGCTCTGTCTCCATCTCCATTGCCCCTTCCATCTCTTCAACGGGCTTCTAATTATAAACAATCATACTGAGTTTGCCTGTACATGAAGATACTAAACCAAGAAATAACTAGAATCCATCTAATTCCCCTCACAACATGCTCAATGTCCAGATCCAAACATAAGTGACAACCTATATCGCATAAACCTTTTACACTTTGTTTGTGTTCTCAGTGTATGTAAGTTTTAGATTACAGCCCTTATCTGCATTAAAGTAAAATAAATAAGCAAATAAAAACCCCAAAGAAATCACTGCAGTAAACAAAGTAAACCTGTGATAAAACCAAAAGAGCAGTTCAGATAATAAAGCATTTCAGTTGAAGAAAAGAAATTCATTCTCATAATCTACTAATCCATCAAATCCAGTTATTAAAAATTTGCTCAATGTAGTTTAGTAGCTGCCACATGTTACACAGTTACAGTCATGCACAATCACACAACCCACTTTCACAACATTCATTTCACCACAAATTAACGACAAACTGGAAATATTATGTATAAGGTTGTGCCACCATGATATGTAGAGGGATTCACAACTACTGAATGATTGTGCTTCACAACGTGAAAAAAATTTGAACAGGGAAAAAAAAAAAAAGAAAAAGAAAAAAAAAAGGGCATATCAACTATAAAACATCTAGCTAAGGTCAATTGGATAATAACAATTAACATAAATGTGCTGCCCAACATTCCAAACGTTCTCAAGACCATATTTCAATAGAATGGCAACTTCTGCAAGTAAAACACATGAATCTCTAGCCCTTTAAATAGCACTAGCAACCCCCTGCATAAGCCAAACTCTCCAAGCATTTTGAAAAGTTGAGATTACAGGAAAATTCAGGCTGGTTAGTCCTACATCAAAGTCAACCTACTGGGCCAGGTTTAAATTAGATTTAAGGACAACTAACAAACAAGTTGAGAAAAGGGTACTACATATCATGTGCTCGAGAACTACAAATCATGTGCTTGAGAAACTAATGTTACTTCCTTTCATAGTAGTCTTAAAGCATCTCCACTAGAAACTCTACAATCGAGTTGGCAAACATAACAAACAGAATTGGCATGAAAACATGCTCCACTCTATGTGCTTAAATCTGACGTGGAATTGAGACTTCAGTTATGCTAAATATGGTAGGGCTGAGAGAGAAGTCAATTTTGATTCTATCATTATTTTAATGTTCATTTCAGAAAAGAAATTCATTCTAATGAGTAAAATAAAAGAGTTCAGAAAAGATTAAAAGTAAAAACAATAAAATAAAAAATTAAACATATTGGGTGAAGTGCTTTTTAGAGATGTCAAGATTGCATATGCCACCTAAACCTTAAAATAAAAATAAAAATAAAAAATATTTACCAATTTTTGAAAGTTTGGGTGAAGATGCTCTTAATAGTTTGAAGCCTTAAAAAAGCATTTTTTTGGGCACTCGGTTGATTCATCTTAAATGAAGTTCAATTTACTTTTTCGATTCGGAACTCCTACACTGTGTTTGGATCATGCATTTGGGTAGCGATTTGGAAAGAAAAAGGGAAATGGAGAAAAAATTTAACTTAGGTTTCATTCACATTGCCCTCAACTTTTCCATTTCCAAATCCATGATCCAAAAGCAATATTAGTCAAATAGATGGCAAGATTGATTTTTTGCTTGCGGTTCAAAGAGAACTGATCAGGGACCACAAACATTAAATCCAATTGTTAACAAAGCATAAACAAACTTGTTTAATGTAACCCTTAAATTTTGTTTTCCCTCCACAAATCCAAGATCTAAACACAGCCTAAGGAGAGTAATGGGAGAAAGAAGGTCGCCCAAATACTTTGACCCACCCTTCAACTATTTTTACCTACCCATCTTTTATCAATTTAAAATCTCAAAAACCCCACCTAGTTGCCCAGTTCATAACTACAAAGCAATTCCAATTTGAGTGTTCTGGTTGATGAGTTTGGTAAAATTCAAAACAAACTGCAAAGGCACTCCCCAGGAAAGTTGGAGCTAAAATAACTAATAAAGACAAAAAAAGAAACTAAAATAGTCAATAAAATAAAATGTCATATCTTCCACATCAATCTTTCTTTTGACAATCATCTATTCAAAACAAAAAAAAAAACAAAAAAAAAAATCCATAAATCATCCAAAACATAACTTCTTTTTTTTTTTTTTTCATGTTATAAAATAACCAAAAAGCCATCTAAAATAGCCAATTTTCCAAACAAGGCCATAATCAACCTATGTTCATAAACATAGACAATATTCATCTGAAACATAGTTTGAATCACTCAGTTTGGTTGTTTTTCGTTCTTTATTTTCTGGAAAAAAAAAAAAAATTTGTTTCGTTTTCGTTTTCGTTTTCGTTTTTGTTTCAGAAAAGTATCCCTAAAACAGTTTTCAGAAACAATTTTCCAAACAGATTATTTCCATGAAAACTGAAAAACAAAAGACGCAATGCCCAACTAAACAGAGTGAATCATTTGGAGATTCTCAAATCTGAATAATGCAACTATATATATATATATATATATATAAATTGCATGAACAAAGGCGCGCAATTAAAGATTTGAAGAGAACTCACCACCGTTGCGGTCGATCCTGCTGCTGATATGGTCGTTTTCGGACGATCTAGGGTTGGGATGAGGGTTGGCGCAGAGGGGCAAAAAAGGAGAGTTGAGGGGTTGTTCACTTTTGGCGGGACTTATACTACGTTTGGGACCCTGGATTTGGAGGGAAAGTTAGAAGGAAAAAAAAAAAGAAAAATATGAGAAAATAAATAATAATATTAGTAATATACAAACCTATTTTTTAAATTTATTTTTTAGATTCAATGATATGTAAGTAGTATAATTGATTGATGATTAGAAAAATATGAGAAAATAAACAATGCTTATTAATTACCATATCACTGAACTAAAAATTGAGTCTAATTTTTAATCTTGAATAATAATATTTTTTTGAAAAATTACATCTACTCACCTCTTGTATTTCTATGGGACTATATATTATTAGGTCTAAAGTTTAAGGGTAAATTTACCTCCATATGGTAAGACTCGAAAATATTTTAGCCCTTATCTTTTAAAATAATACGCTATTTCCCCTACGTTGTTTTAGACTACAATACAACTATTAACACTGTTAATTATAGATATAAAATGATAATAATACCCCTAAACCCTATTTTTTTGTTATTTTTTCTCTCTCATCTCTTATACATATAACTTATAATGTTTAGTAGTAATTCAATTAAATCATAATTAATTATAAATTCTTATTTATTTATTATAATTCTTACATTATTATTCTAATTTTAATTTAATTATGTTTTATATCACAATTAATCCTAAATATTTAACTATTTATTGTAATTACTAACTTTAATCTAATTTTAATTATATTATATTTTAGATCACAATTAATCCTAAATTCTTAATTATTTATTATAATTTTTAATATGATATTCTAATTTTAATTTAATTACATTTTAGATAAATTCTTAATTATTGTTCATTTTATTTTTATTTAAATAAATTTTAAATCAATTCTTAATTATATTTAATTTAATTTATTTTATTTTAATTAACATATTAATCTAATTTTAGGTTTAGAGAAAATGGAAATAAAATTATTCTTTTGTTGTATAAATTTCATTCTAATTTTTCAAAAAACAAAACATACTCTCAAAAATGGTGTGTAATACATCTTTCGTTAGTTTGGATGGAAAAATTAACGGTAATAATATAGTCCAAAATCACATGGGGGCTTACTGGTTATATATTTGAATGATAGTGGAGTAAAGTGCTCCAGCCCCAAACCACAAGAGGGTAAAATGAATTTAAACAAAAGTTTAATATTTTTTTTGGTGATAAAGACATGCGTTGAAAAGTCATTAAAAAATTTGCTGGAAAGTTATCGGTGGTCGATGGTGATGGTTAGTGGCAGTGAGGTGAACATATAGATGAATAGATAAGTGACACGTGTGCAAATAGATAAGATTTGAACAAATAATTTGACAGATAGATGATACATATACAAATATGTGGCATTTGGACAAATAAATAGATATGTAAACTTTGAACATATATGTATCTTTTTGGACAGATAATATCCTTTTAACCCAAAAAGATTAGTTTAAAAGTTTCAGACATGGACGTTTGGTCTGAGTGCCCATATTATAATTATTCCATAAATATATTAAAAATATAAATAATAAAAAAATATATCTACTAGAACTATTAGTTGCTAAAAAAATATAATTTTTCTTAAAATATTTCTTCATGCTATGAAAATTAGGAAGGGTTATACACCAAGATCCTTTCAATCATTAACAAATATCACTTTAACCCCCACATTTATAAACCCATACATATTAGCTCTCTCAATTACAAAAAGTATGCAAATAATAGTTGGTAGTGACTCTTAATACTCCCCCTCAACGCGGCTTATGTTTGGATTTTTTTTCTCTTATTATCCATATTTTGGGTGCAAAACATTTTTTGATGTATTTTTTGGTATTTGATATAATGAACCGGTGTTTCCGACTTTGTTCCTGAAATGATAAAAATAACGTGAAATGAACAAATATGTCCAGTAGAGATCTACAATGATTCCTAACAATAGGATCGATAGATTCATGTGATCATAAATGCCAAAAGGTGATACATAAATAAATAATGTGCCTTTTATACTCAAACAAAAATACACATAGGTAATACCTTCGTTGTCACAATTCACTAACTTTTGAAAGAAATCTCATTCTTTTGTCTTTTTACCATTCTTGTATGATTCAAATAATTTTCTTAAAACCCCTCTTTAACATGACATCAGAATCTTAGCCTTAATAACCGTGTATTACTAATGATCATACATTTTACTCATTAATTCATAACTAGCCATCACCCCCACCATAATTGCTCAACTTCAATATATACATGTATCTACACTCATTTCAACGCATATCACAAAACTAATCCATATAAAAACAAATCAATTCATTTTTTTTCTTTCCAAACTTACACAGTTCAATTCTTCATTTCTTATTATCACATAAAAGTTCACAAATCAACAATCGGTTTCATTACCAAGCCATAACAACAAATCACATGCTTTTTCGGGGTGCTACTCCAGAAGGATTGCAGAACCTCTATTAAGTGACACACGTTACCAGTCACAAGTCGGAAGCAGCGCCGAACTTCCACATATCTCAACAAACCGGAAGGATTACGAAACCTCTATTAAGCGCTATTGTTGGCTTTTTTGGCTTTCGAAGGTTACTTTCGTAATTATGAGCGTGCCAGCAAGGATCAATCAGTCCTTACAGAATTGCCAAACAATTATTCAGACGATTGTGTTATGGTTCTTTCGGCCTCAATAAAGAGGACTTTTACTGGTGGCTTACTGGTAATTAAACTTCAGAAAATCTGAACATAAGAACAGTTAACTAAACTGGAGTATTTCATTAGTATAAAAAGAACTTACAATGATCTCAGTTCCGTAGAGAATTACAGCGGCAATATACTTGACAATTACTCCTACAAATGAAGTGCAGTGTAGAAACTAAAAATACAGGAATATAAAGGACAGGAAATAACACTGGAATATGTAAAGTGATTCTTTAGATTTTCTCCGTCTCTTTCTCTGAAGTCCTTCCTGCTATTTATACTCTCCGAAGATAACCATCGAATTGTACTTCAAACCGTCGAACTGCTCCTCCGTAGTTGCTGATCATGCTACCTTATAAGTAGTCCCACTACGCCTTCACTTGCAGTTAGGCTTCCCCCTTATATTTGAATTTGAAATGTGAGCAACCGTTGAAGCCACGTCACCATACATCTCTTTGTTGATCCGCTACTACTCAGATCTTATAACAACCAATAGTGACTGCCACGTGTATGGTCAGGATCGAAGACCTACCTGGTCTCCCCATATTAGCCTCACTTCGCCACGCGTCGGATTGTCACTGGCTTAGTACAAAATGTGTAGCCAACAAATATATAACTCAAAATTCATAATCAAACTCTTTTCAAAATTCTATCAAAAATATTTCAAATTTTTTTAATTTTGCCCTTTAAAATTATTTTTTATTTTATATTTTTTTCAAAAAATATTTTGTTTATTTTTATTTTTCAAGAAAAATATTTTTTATTTTTTAAAAAAATAATTGTCTCGATGCTCTCAGACTGTCTAGGGTAACTATTTCAGAAGACCCTTTCCTTGTTCCCGCTGCTCTATGTTTTTGGAACCCGTCTTTAATTTTTTTCAATTTAGATGTGGGATGATGGCCCCTACTGTTCTTGATATTTGCCATTTATTGGGACTATCTCCTATTGGCACTCCTTTGGACCAGATTATCCTGATTTAGCAGTCCCTTTCTCTCTCCCCTCCCTTAACTCATCTTATAGTGATTTTGCTAGGGCTGAGAATAAAAGACAGGGCCCTTGACTGATAGGGAATTTTTTTCTTTCTATTGTATTGGCTTTGTAAATTCCTTTTTTGCACTTCCTCTCAGAGAATTATGCCTGAATTTGCCCTCTTGCCAAAGTCTTTGTTTTACAGAAAAAGTGGCCTTAGCCCCACATGTTCTAGGGCTGTATATAGAGTCTGCTCCCTTTTTTGTGGAGAAACCCTTAGATGCTAATCAAGGGGGCCATTCTGGATCCTTCAGTTTTGGCTTTTCGCCTATTTTACCGAATTACAATCCAAATGCCTTAAATTTTCCGAGCCAAACCTCTTACCCATGGCATGAGGATTGCCATGCTTCACTTTACCCTTCTACCTTTGCTTTTTACTTCTCTTTCTTCCATCAGCTTCCAGCCTCCCTTCCTACTTACCGCTTTCGTCCCTTCGAATCTTCCATAGGTCCATCTTGGTTGAGGAATTTTCTAAGTGACCAGTCCTGCACTTCACTTGCTCACCAGGATATATGGGCTTCCATTCTGATTCCCAGAGAGCTATTTATTGGACTTTAAACCCAAAGGCATATAAATGTATTGCTGAAACCCTACTGTCCAGCGCATTTGCTAGACAATTTGGCCTTTCACAAGGGGTCCCAATACCCCTCTGTAGCAACACAAACCTCAGCCTCACCAGAAGGGACTTGAAAGTTCGAAATCAAGGCTAGAAGAGGCAACTTTGAAATTTATAGATGACTTGGCCAACTTTGAATTCACCCCTTTCATTCCTCAAGGTACCGTGTTGAAGAGGTACCAAAACTGGTGGGTGAGTAACATGGAGATTTATCTGGCCATTCACCTTCAAGCCTACTAACAGTGCTAGATGTGACCAAGCCCAAAGAAACCGGGGAGTCACTTCTTCCACTTTTCAGAATTGGCACATGCTGCTCCTGCTGCTTCAATTCCTCCCAGAGTCACTCGAGCTGCTTCGAAGAAAGGTATACCCTTGTCTCTTCTCCTTTTATCTTTCATAATGCATTTGCCTTATCTTTAATTCTTCTTTTGTGGAGGTGGCCAATTACAAAAAAAAGGAGCCTCTTTGAACTCGAAAGGGAACATCCAATATTCAAAGGAAGAAAAGGAAGAATCCGATGAAGAGGAAGAGTTATTCTTTAAAAGAAGAAGAAGGCAATCATTTTTCATCCGACTCGGTAACTGCCAGAGAGTCAGAAATGAATTCATTCTCTGGATCTAGATCGCAGCTTGAAGAACTTGAGGAAAAGTTGAGAAAGAAATCGAGAAAAAACGACCCTGCCAA